TCGAGGGCAGCCAACATGCACAGGAAGTAGTACATAGGCAAGTGGAGACTGTGCTCCTTCTTGACCACAAAGAGGATGGTCAAGTTGCCCAGCAAGGCTACTAAGTACATGGAGCAGAAGGGGAAGGCCATCCAAAAGTAAGCAGCTTCCAGGCCAGGAATGCCCATGAGGATGAAAACGGAGGGGTTGCTGATGGAGCGATTGTTGCACGCCATGGCTTCTACCTGGCTCCCGGAACCATTTCATAGCCTGCTGTTAAGGTGAAAAGGAAGTTAGGCAGGGCTACTACGCTTGCTGCTTATGGTTAGGTGAGACCAAGGAGGTTAGGAACATACAGTAGTGTTTTAACACTTGGTCTTCTGCATCAACTCTCTTTGACTCTGAGGTAGAAATTCATCAAAAGCCATTATCAGTAAGGCCAGTTTCATATCTTCACGTGTATGGCCTAACCACAAAACTAGGAGCAAGCAGTTTAGGAGGAACTTCATTGATTGCTAATGTGCAGAACGTTTACCCTGGGAATGAACATCCAGTTCTTAAGAGCTCCACACCAGAGGTGGAAAATGAGAACAAAACTGGAGCAGCTTATTCCTCTACCACTTTTTTTTTTAAAAAAAAACAATACTATGAGCTACAGAGTCATTATAAGAATCAAGATCCTCCATCAGGCTAGGGGCGCTGTTCACCCCTTTCCACTAAGTTCTGTATCAGAATAGAGATGTTGAGCTTGGAAATTGTGGTCTACTTAGACCCCTAACCGCCATGAATAGCTAGCAGTTCTGGCAATGTTAACAGGGAGGTCTGGATCATTAGCTGCCTCCCTTCCTTGGAGCCAGTTTTCAGTGGCCTCCTCGGCTGCTGGCATCACCCTTCTGCTCCCCTCTGTTGTTACCTTATCATGGGCTCCTCAGCGAAACTCCAGCTGCCCCACGCTCTCAAGCAGACAACTGGGGCCATCTCAGTTGTTGCCCTTCCCAAGGTCTGTTGGAGATGCTGCCTGGCCACACTTTTGCCTGTGCTTGTGCTCTGATGCTAGCTGTGTCCTTTTGGGTTTCTGCAGCCACATGCGGAGAACCTGCTGCAAGCCAGTTGGGAGCGGAGGAAGTTATACTCTCTACTGAAACTCCTAGGGGACAGCAGCTTCGGCCCAGAGCCCATGAGATCATGAACATTAACTGCATCGATTTTGTCATCATCAAGCTCATGAAACAGCTATGTGAAAGGAAGCATAACTAAATTATGGAGCTCACTTCCACAGAAGGCAGTGATTGCCACCAACCTAGATGGCTGTAAGAGAGGACTGGACAAGTTCGTGAAGGAGGAGAGGGCTCTCAACGGCTTCTAGCCATCATGGTTCTGCTTTGCCTCCACAGTCGGAGGTAGAAATGTGGCCAGCATGACTAAGCCGCTTCTGGTGAACCAGAGCAGTGCACAGAAACGCCGTTTACCTTCCCACCAGAGCAGTACCTATTTATCTACTTGCACTTTGATGTGCTTTCAAACTGCTAGGTTGGCAGGAGCAGGGACCGAGCAACGGGAGCTCACCCCGTCCGTCGCGGGGATTCGAACTGCTGATCTTCTGATCGGCAAGTCCTAGGCTCTGTGGTTTAGGGTTCCCTTCCTTGAGACTCCTTAGGGTAGTGATAAAGCGGGATATCAAATCCAAACTCTTCTTCTTCTCTTCTTCTACCGCCGCACGCGCATGCGCAGAAGCGGTCTACCGCTTCTCCTCTGGTTGCAAAAAACTCAGGATCTGGCTGGAATTCCGAAATGGATCCCATTCGCAACCGGAGGTACCACTGTAGATTGAATAATGAAGGATATGCTACTTCCCCAAATAGAACCAGGGAGCCATGAAGCTGGGAGGGGTCCCTGAAGACCTTCCAAGTCCTTTTTCTGCTCCATCAAGTCCAGCAGGCCTCTTCTTGCCCACTCCTCTTTCATCCACCCACCACTGCACATTCCAGGCCCAAACCATTTTTGAAATTTCAAGAGGATTTCTCCACCATTTTCCCCTAGAAAATGTGTTCTGGGAGGAGCACTCATAGAATCATAGAATCATAGATTTGGAAGAGACCACAAGGGCCATCGAGTCCAACCCCCTGCCAAGCAGGAAACACCATCAGAGCACTCCTGACATATGGTTGTCAAGCCTCTGCTTAAAGACCTCCAAAGAAGGAGACTCCACCACACTCCTTGGCAGCAAATTCCACCGTCGAACAGCTCTTACTGTCAGGAAGTTCTTCCTAATGTTTAGGTGGAATCTTCTTTCTTGTAGTTTGGATCCATTGCTCCATGTCCGCTTCTCTGGAGCAGCAGAAAACAACCTTTCTCCCTCCTCTATGTGACATCCTTTTATATATTTGAACATAGCTATCATATCACCCCTTAACCTCCAGGCTAAACATGCCCAGCTCTCTTAGCCGTTCCTCGTAAGGCATCGTTTCCAGGCCTTTGACCATTTTGGTTGCCCTCCTCTGGACACGTTCCAGTTTGTCAATGTCCTTCTTGAACTGTGGTGCCCAGAACTGGACACAGTACTCCAGGTGAGGTCTGACCAGAGCAGAATACAGTGGCACTCCTTCAAATGGGTCCTTGTTAAATGATCTGATGGGCGAAAGTGGTGAATTTACAGAAGCCTCTTTATGCTGACCATATTCTGTTGATACTGAGGCCTCTTTCAGCTTGGCTTTAATGTCTGCAATGTTGAGGGCTGGAGGATAATATCAGTTTAGTTTTCTACAGCCACCTAGTCCAAGGGTCCCTCTCAGTTATGTGATACCTCGACAATAATAATAATAATTAATAATAATAATTTATACCCTGCCCATCTGGCTGGGCTTCCCCAGCCATTCTGGGTGGCTTCCAACAAAATATTTAAATACCGTAATACATCAAGCATTAAAAGCTTCCCTAAACCGGGCTGCCTTCAGATGTCTTCTAAAAGTCTAATAGTTGTTGTTCTCTTTGACATCTGATAGGAGAGCGTTCCATAGGGGGGGTGCCACCACCGAGAAGGCCCTCTGCCTGGTTCCCAGTAACTTGGCTTCTTGCAGGGAGGGAATTGCCAGAAGGCCCTCGGCGCTGGACCTCAGTGTCCCATCTTGTCTTTCCAGTGAGATCCAGGCAGGATATACATTTTTACCCCTCCCAATTTATTCCTCTCAACAACCCTGTGAGGTGGGTTAGTCTGAGAGGCAGTGACTGGCCCAAGCTTCATGTCTGAGTGGGGGATTCGAATCCTGGTCTCCAACGCTTTAACCACTACACCACACTGCCTCCTCTTGCTCCTCAGGTTGAGATGCTTAGATGATGCTAATTCCTATGGTTAGCCCCTCAGTTGCCAGTAATTCCATTCCCATAGATCCTTTTGTGAAAGGCTGCCACGTTCTCCAACAGCATGCCGGAGAGGTTTCACATCCTCTAGTTAGGGAATTCCTCCTGGTCTTCCTTGAGATCTGAGGGCTATGTATAGAATCACAGGCTGCTCTTTGCCTAGTGAAAACCCAAAGGGATTATATACACCAAAGCTTTATAAACAGTCTCACATTCTGTTCTGAAAGGAAAAACCAAGCAGACAGCTGATGATGAACAGAGCTCCTGAGAGCTCCTGGGCTTTCGTAAGTTAACCGTTTTCTCTATGGTCAAATCCATCTCTTCTTTTAAGAATGGCCACAGGGATCTTCCTTCTCTTAATGTTGGTGGTGTGATTTATTTCCAAATGAATAAAAGATGAGATATCCTTGACGGACATGAGGTTGAGCATGATCAATCCAGTGAATGGTGAAATGTCATGTATTGAAAATGGGTATGGACTGCGCCTGTTCCTTGAGATGTTTGATTTGGCCACAGTGACACATGCTTTGGCTGCATCCTGTTTGGACCATGGGAACTTGCTGTAGGTGGGGCTGCCTTTGAAAACTGCCTCAAAGAGCTGCAGCCATTGGTTCACCAGGGCTGGTTAAAAGGAGTGTTGCTAGAACAGCTCCACTCTCTACCGCTCTGATTTTGGGCACAATTAAAAGGGCTTTTTATGACCTGTAAAGCCCGACATGGCTTAGGTTCAAGCTGCCTGCTCCAGCTGACTCTTCTTAGGTTCTTACGTCTGAACTGAGCACCAAAAACAACGTACTTCAATTTCCATATAACTGGTGGTTACAAAAGAGTAACTGAGAGTTTTAGATAACTGACACATGGAAGGGTGTTCAAAGTTTGACTATGCTGATAACTGATAATGCAATGGTATATCAAGGCAGTTTCCCTGCTTTTCAAGGGGTGCTTTCCTTGTCAATGACTGTTGAGTAACCTCAGCATAGATGCCATGAGAATGCTGCTCCTTGTGTGTCGCTGGACCACAGTACCAGTGCAGGGCTTGTAACCCAGTGTGAAGGGGACGACAGAGGATGAGATGGTTGGATAGGGTTCTCGAAGCTACCAGCATGAGTTTGACCAAACTGCGGGAGGCAGTGGAGGACAGAGGTGCCTGGCGTGCTCTGGTCCATGGGGTCACAAAGAGTCAGACACATCTAAACAACAACAACAGCAACAACAGTACATTGATTATCGCTTTCTTTTTATGGTTCAGTGGTCTCGTTAGGTAGTAAAATTAATGTTAAATTGCTGTTTTAGGGATTGTTTTTAAAAGTCTGGAACGGATTAATTTGTTTTGCATTACTTTCTATGGGAAAGTGAGCCTTGGTTTTGGAACAGGCTTTCAGAACGGATTAAGTTTGAGAACCAAGGTACCACTGTACAAAGCTTTCATTCATGGATTCCAAAGGATAAAAGAGTTTTGAAAACAGTAAATTGGTGGTTAACTGAAGGGGTATATAAATATTTTTTAAAACAAATATTTTATATGTAAAAATCCCGTTTTTAATCCCATACACTATTCAGCTCAAGAGCTACTTTATGAAATGTCCATGGCTGAAAACATTTTAATGGATTTCTTCCTGTGTTTTATTATCTTTAGATCTCCAGATGATTTTTCTCTTTCCAACATGGCAGCCACCAATGGGACAGGTAAGCCTCTCTTGGAGTTCATCTTGAATGGGATCCCAGGCCTGGAACATGCTCACCTTTGGATCTCCTTCCCATTTTTTTCCATGTATCTCATTGGCATGGTGGGGAACTGTGGGCTCCTGTACATCATCTGGACTGAGGAGGCCCTTCACAGACCCATGTACTTCTTCCTCTGCATGCTCTCCATCACAGACATAGTGATGGGAACATCTACCATGCCCAAAGCATTCTGCATCTTCTGGCTCAACCTCAAAGAGATCGACTTCAACTCCTGCCTGGTCCAGATGTACATTGTCCACACCTTCACTGGGATGGAGTCTGGCGTCCTCATGCTTATGGCTCTGGACAGATTCGTGGCCATCTGCTACCCACTGAGGTATGCCACCATTCTGACCAACCCCTTGATTCTGAAGGTGGGGCTAGTGACCTTCATCAGGGGCGCCGTTCTCATCCTCCCTTTCCCTTTCCTGGTCAGGAAGATGCAATATTGCAACACCAACGTCATTGCTCACACTTACTGTGACCACATGGCGGTGGTGAAGCTGGCCTGCGGCAGTATCCACGTGGACGCCATCTATGGCCTGACGGTAGCCCTGCTGATAGGGGGCTTCGACATCTTCTGCATCACAGTGTCTTATTTCATGATCCTGAAGGCGGTGGTGGGACTTTCCTCTAAGGAGGCAAGGAGCAAGGCCTTTGGCACCTGCACCGCACACATTTGCGCCATCACGGTATCTTACACTCCGGCCTTCTTCACGTTCTTTGCCCACCACTTTGGGGGACACAGCATCGCTCCTCACGTTCACATCATTATGGCCAACCTTTACCTTCTTCTGCCCCCTATGATGAACCCCATTGTTTATGGTGTGAAGACAAAAGAGATACGTGAAAGCGTCCTAAGGCTGTTCAGTAAGGGAAAGACCATGGTGCCTCATGGCCATTGAAGGTGGAGAAGATACATGGGTCAAGCCATCAACAAACACGTTCTATGTGCATCCCCATCACCGATGCATATCACTTCCTCAGATGCAGGAGGCCCAAATTTCATCCAGTATTTCTGCTGTAGTTTTAGGTAGAAAGCTCTCCTCTTAGGGACACAGTAGTGAATGCTGAATCTTTTGGCCAACTGCCAGCCAAGATGACAGCAGTACAGAAGTTTTCTAATCTTTCCGAAGTTTCTAATCTGAATGGCACTATGAAATCCCAGCTTCTTCCTAGCCTGCTGCTTACTCTCTGAACTTTCCAGGAATCATTATATGTTGCGCCCTACTCCGGAAGCAAGTATTGCTTTGCCCAAAGCGATTCTGGTAGGCTTGGCAGGCAACCTCAGCAGCCACATAAGAGACATTGCACAATCCGATTGTGGAGGAAGTGGCAAATGGGAGATGTGTGGGACAAGAGCCTGTTCTGGGAAACTTTGAAGGCACGGAGCTTTTCTTGTTTCCTCTCCTTCCTTAGCCCATTAAAGGACCTTCGGGAGGCAATAAAAAACTTTGGTATTCTGGTTCTGTTTGACCCATTTGCCTCTCACAGGGTCATAAAAGATGAGAGAGAGAGAAAGAGAGAGAGAGAGAGATTATCAGATAGCTCATCTTAGAGTTGCCCTCCCACTGTTCCCTATTCCAAATTCAGGTGAACTAAACATTCTCCTGTGGTTTGTTTGTTTCACTACTCCAGAATGATACACACACACACACACACACATTTTTATTGGTTTTTACATATATTTTCCAAACAGAACATCTCATCTCATCTTATACATCATTTTGGCTATTTTAGCCTGAGACTTCCATCAACCATGTCTAATGATTCTTAAACCTCCTCTCTTAATCTTGCATTTGTTATCCTAACTATTACTTTTAGTAATCAATAACTTAAAATCCATTCTCATAAATCTTTTCTGCAATATTTCATATAGTTCTCCTTATAAAACTTCCTGTAGTCCTTCAAACGTAGTCAATGATTACAATTGTCTTTCAAATAACTCACATATTTACTCCAATCTTTCAAGAATTTCTGGTCCTGCTGGTTTCGAATTCTCCCTGTCATCTTTATCCAAATTAATTTCATCTGCCATTCCTCTTCCATCAGTAGTTCTTCCTGCTTCCATTTCTGTGCCAATAATACTCTTGCTGCAGTTGTCGCATATAAAAACAATTTTTAAAATCTTGTCTATTAATGTCAGTGCCTACAATACCAAGTAGGAATGCTTCTGGGTTTTTTTTTACAAATGTATATTTCAACATCTTTTTCATCTCATTATAAATCATTTCCCAGAAGCATTTCACTTTCTTACACAGAATGATTTTTTAATTTATTTTCCTTGTTCTCCACCTCCTCTCTATCTTTTTCATGGTTTCCATTTTTAAATGTAGAGTTTTTAATGGAACAGTTGGTTGTTTTGTGGTGTTTTTTTTTAAATGAATGTTCTCAGCTGCTTTGGAGACTCCAGTCAAAAAGTGGGACACGACTGAAATAAACGAAGAAGCAAGTCAGCAAGCTGTGGATGAAGATTCAAAATCAGGAAACCTGGTGCGGCTTGGGTGGTCAGAGGCTGGGAAGCCCAGCTCTGTCTTCTCTAAAGCTCAGGCATCCTGTTCGATAGGAGCAAATCTGAAGTATTTGGCACGTCCTGTGTTGTATTTCTGGATGTTCAGGTTCTCCTTGACCAAAAGGAAAGGAAACAATCAAAACAAAGTGCAAAGTGGGCATTTAGCAGCTGGCTGAATTATTGTCATTTGGTTGACATATTAGAATGGTTATTTATGGTGTGGGATGGGTGTATTGGAAGACCATTGTGATATTGAGGAGTTAGCATTGTGTGGTATGACACCCTTCGTCCTTTTGTACCCAGCTTGCCCGAGTCTTTGCTAGGATTCTTGCCCCGTGCTTGCAGTCATGGGATTGTTTTTTATCACACGACGGTGTATGTTTTCATTCCACAGTGTGGGAAGTGATGGAGATGGGATGTTTTGATTACAGTGGTACCTCGGGTTACATACGCTTCAGGTTACAGACTCCGCTAACCCAGAAATAGTACCTCGGGTTAAGAACTTTGCTTCAGGATGAGAACAGAAATCATGCTCTGGCGGTGCAGCGGCATCAGGAGGCCCCATTAGCTAAAGTGGTGCTTCAGGTTAAGAACACTTTCAGGTTAGGAACGGACCTCCAGAACGAATTAAGTACTTAACCCGAGGTACCACTGTACTGTGTTTCCGTGATGTGGGACTCTTGTCCTTTGTCTTTCTCTCTTTGCTGTCTGATGAGAAAGAGGAAGGAACTGAGTCAGAATGCTCTGAGTGTGCTATATGTAAATAAAGTAGATTAGCCAAAATGCTGTGCTGCTGAGTCTGTTATGCGAACTGCTAACACTCTGCTGTTCCTAAGTGCGCTGATGCCTCTTGGTATCAGTCACTGTGATGTTCGGGCTGGAGAAAGCTTCTGAAGCTCCCAAACAACCAACCAGGAGGGAGCGAACATGCTAGTCGGGCATGTGTCTCTATCGGATGCCTACTTGCATGTAGGACGATCCTGACAGTCTTTTGGTGGTCAGCCATGCTTCTTAGAATCATAGAATCATAGAGTTGGAAGAGACCACAAGGGCCATCGAGTCCAACCCCCTGCCAAGCAGGAAACACCATCAGAGCACTCCTGACATATGGTTGTCAAGCCTCTGCTTAAAGACCTCCAAAGAAGGAGACTCCACCACACTCCTTGGCAGCAAATTCCACTGTCCAACAGCTCTTACTGTCAGGAAGTTCTTCCTAATGTTTAGGTGGAATCTTCTTTCTTGTAGTTTGGATCCATTGCTCCGTGTCCGCTTCTCTGGAGCAGCAGAAAACAACCTTTCTCCCTCCTCTATGTGACATCCTTTTATATATTTGAACGTGGCTATCATATCACCCCTTAACCTCCTCTTCTCCAGGCTAAACATGCCCAGCTCCCTTAGCCGTTCCTCATAAGGCATCGTTTCCAGGCCTTTGACCATTTTGGTTGCCCTCCTCTGGACACGTTCCAGTTTGTCAGTGTCCTTCTTGAACTGTGGTGCCCAGAACTGGACACAGTACTCCAGGTGAGGTCTGACCAGAGCGGAATACAGTGGCACTATTACTTCCCTTGATCTAGATGCTATACTCCTATTGATGCAGCCCAGAATTGCATTGGCTTTTTAGCTGCCACGTCACACTGTTGGCTCATGTCAAGTTTGTGGTCAACCAAGACTCCTAGATCCTTTTCCCATGTACTGCTCTCAAGCCAGGTGTCACCCATCTTGTATTTGTGCCTCTCATTTTTTTTGCCCAAGTGCAATACTTTACATTTCTCCCTGTTAAAATTCATCTTGTTTGTTTTGGCCCAGTTCTCTAATCTGCCAAGGTCATTTGGAAGTGTGATCCTGTCCTCTGGGGTGCTAGCCACCCCTCCCAGTTTGGTGTCATCTGCAAATTTGATCAGGATGCCCTTGAGTCCATCATCCAAGTCGTTGATAAAGATGTTGAATAAGACTGGGCCCAAGACAGAACCCTGTGGCACCCCACTAGTCACTCTTCTCCAGGATGAAGAGGAACCATTGATGAGCACCCTTTGGGTTCGGTCAGTCAGCCAGTTACAAATCCACTGAGTGGTAGCATAGTCAAGACCGCATTTTACCAGCTTCTTTACAAGAATATCATGGGGCACCTTGTCAAATGCCTTGCTGAAATCAAGGTAGGCTACATCCACTGCGTTCCCTTCATCTACCAGGCTTGTAATTCTGTCAAAAACGAGATCAGGTTAGTTTGACATGACTTATTTTTCAGAAATCCATGCTGACTATTGGTGATCACAGCATTCCTTTCTAGGTGCTCACAGACTGTTTGCTTAATGATCTGCTCCAGAATCTTCCCTGGTATTGATGTCAGACTGACTGGGCGGTAATTATTTGGGTCCTCTCTTTTCCCTTTTTGAAAATAGGGACAACATTTGCCCTCCTCCAGTCTGCCGGGACTTCGCCTGTTCTCCAGGAATTCTCAAAGATGACTGTCAGTGGTTCTGAGATCACATCTGCCAGTTCTTTTAATACTCTTGGATGCAGTTCATCCGGCCCTGGAGACTTGAATACATCTAAACTAGCCAAGTATTCTTGTACTACAGTGGTGCCCCGCAAGACGAATGCCTCGCAAGACGGAAAACCCGCTAGACGAAAGGGTTTTCCGTTTTGGAGGTGCTTCGCAAAACGAATTTCCTATGTGCTTGCTTCGCAAGACGAAAATGTCTTGCGAGTTCCTGCGGTTTTTTTCCCCTCCCCCCCCTTTTCCCCAAGCCGCGAAACCGCTTATCAGCTGATCGGCTAAGCCGCTTAACAGCTGATCTTTGCCGCTTAACAGCTGATGCTAAGCCGCTTATCAGCTGATCTTTAAGCCGCTTAACAGCTGATGCTAAGCCGCTTATCAGCTGATTGTTAAGCCGCGTATCAGCTGATCTTTAAGCCGGATAAGCCGCTAATACTGTAGCGCTAAGCCGCTAAACCTCTAATGGGCTTGCTTCGCAAGACGAAAAAACCCGCAAGACGAAGAGACTCGCGGAACGGATTCTTTTCGTCTTGCGAGGCACCACTGTATCTCCTTAGTTATTCTGGGCTGTGTTTCCTCTGCTGAATCATTTGCTCCAAATTCTTCAGGTCGGGCATTGTTTTCTTTATCAGAGAAGACTGAGGCAAAGAAGGCATTGAGGAGTTCAGCCCTTTCTGTGTCCCCTGTTTGCATTTCACCATCTTCTCCTCTGAGTGACCCCACTGTTTCTTTGTTCTTCCTTTTGCTACAAACATACCCATAAATGCCTTTTTTGTTGCTTTTAACCTCTCTAGCAAGCCTGAGTTCATTCTGTGCTTTAGCTTTTCTGACTTTGTGTCTACACGTGCTGGCTATTTGTTTGAATTCCTCTTTGGTGGTTTCCCCCTTTTCCATTTTTGTACACATCCTTTTTAATCTTAACTCAGTTAAAAGTTCTTTAGATAGCCACCCTGGCTTCTTTAGGCACCTTCCATGTTTCCGTCTCATTGGTATTGCCTGAAGTTGTGCTTTTACTATCTCCCTCTTAACAAACTCCCAGCCATCATGAACTCCCTTTCCTTTTAGTATTACTGTCCATGGGATCTCACCCAGCACTTCCCTAAGTTTTATGAAGTCGGCTTTCTTAAAGTCAAGAAATTGAGTCCTAGTATGCTTGGCTGCTCCTTTCCGCTGTATAGTAAACTTCAGAAGAGCATGATCACTCGCGCCTAATGATCCTTCCACTTCTACCCCACTAACCAGGTCATCAACATTAGTTAGGACCAGATCTAAAATGGCTGTTCCTCTTGTTGCTTCTCCCACTTTCTGGACAATGAAGTTGTCTGCAAGGCCAGTGAGGAATCTGTTTGACCTTATGCTCTTGGCTGAGTTTGACATCCAACAAATATCCGGGTAATTGAAGTCCCCATTACTACTATCTCCCTCCTTTTGCATGCTTGGCCATCTGTTCCAGGAAGGCATCATCTATGTCCTCCGTTTGGCTTGGGGATCTATAGTAAACTCCCACAATGAGGTCTCTGTTATTCTTCTCTCCCTTAATTTTGACCCAAATGCTCTCACTTTGGCTTTGAGGTTCTAAATCTTGGATCTCTTCACAGGTATACACATCCCTGACATATAACGCCACTCCTCCTCCTTTCTTGTCTGGTCTGTTTCTCTGAAATAGATTGTATCCCTCCATTATTACATTCCAATCGTGGGACTTATCCCACCAGGTTTCAGTGATGCCTATTATGTCATATTTAGTTTGCTGTACCAAGAGCTCAAGCTCAAGCTTCTTTCTGCTGCTTTCTTCGCTATTTCTCTGCTTCGATATTTCCTCACACACTAGCAAGTTATGTGTGTCCGTATGTCTGTTTCTGTCCAAGTTAAGGATGTCCTGAGTTAAGTATGTCCCACCAGCTGACTAAGGGGCACCTGGTGTACTGGCTGCTTGCCACCACATCCCTTATCTTTGAAATGTATAAATGCAGTCATCTATATTGGCTGCTTGCCACAGACTCACCTAGGTGTGCAAGAATGTATGAACTGGAGGACCGTTGTCTAATTCTCACCACAGGTGTGATTAACGCATCAATCTGATGTGCAAGGTTAATTTGAGGTCCAGGAGATGAAGGCAGTATAGTCATCCCAAGAGAAGCCCTGCATCTTTGAACCTCAGTGCACACCCAGACTGCAGACAGAGGAGTCTCTGCATTGCTGCTCAAGGGATTCCCAGCAATAAGAGGGACATAAGCATTGTGGTCTTGTTCTTCACTTTTATGCTTTAGTCTTTCTCTGCATTAATAAAGAACCTTCAGTCTTCACCCATCAGTGTGTCCATTGCTTCTAAATCCTAAAAGAACCACTGCCTTTGGCAGGACAATTTGTATGGTCAGCAGGACTTGACAGCAAGCTCTGCTACCCTGGGGCTTTGGGTTACCGTATTTTTCGCTCCATAGGGCGCACCTGACCATAGGGCGCACCTAGTTTTTAGAGGAGGAAAACATGAAAAAAAATATTCTGAATCAAATGTTGTACTAAACTATTTAAAGCAGCCAAGCGGGTGGCTCCTGTCCGCTTTGCTGCTTTAAAGCGAGCCTCAGAGGAGGGAAGGAAGGGGAACCATGGCTTATCTAAGTCCAGTTAATAATGCTGAGCCTGATTTTATATGCATCTCAAAGCCCTTGACATATATACATTATAATGACAAGCCGAGATAGGCCTCCTGCAGAGGAGCAGGGGAGGGAGCCATCACAGCTCAATGGGGAGAGCGTGGAGAAGATCCCAAGTTCAGTCTTTGAAAGCTTCTCCGGGTAGGGCTGAGGGTGTGTCTCCTGAAACCCTGGTGAGCCTCTGCCCATCAGTGAAGACAAAACTGAGCTAAATGGGCTCAGGGGTCCTGACGTGGTACAGGGAAGGTCCCTCTGTTCCTGTTTAAATTAGCCCTTTCTTCAGAACCATGGGAACTACAATCTTAGTTTGTTTTTAAAGGGAACAGCTGTAACCTCAGTGGCTTTGCATGCAGAACACCACACACTCAATCCCCGGCTTTTCCAGGCCTGAAACTCTGGCAAACTGCTACCAGTCAGTGTTGACATTACTAAGCTAGATGGAGTAGTGGATCCAACTCCTTATAAGGCAGCTTCCTAGGTTCCCATTTATGCTTCAGATCTGGGCGTGAGGGCTGCTGTCACTTTTAGTGTCAAGAGGGTGGTTCTTTGCACATCTGGAAGATGACTGTGTCACCTCCCATCACCCTCTTGAAGGTGCTTTTACAGCTCAGGGGAAAGGGCAGGCAGACACAGCATCTGTAGACTGTAGCATCCTGAATTAAGGGAGGGAGGGGAAAGAGCTGTTCTTCAGCTTGAAACCAGGACTTGCTCTTTAACCATGCTGCTCCTCCAGCTGCCAATGCCATCCATGTAACTGTGTGAATATCAAGTGTGGGTTGTGTCCAGGAACCTGGGAGGATTTCTTTCACATGAGTACATGTTTTTGTCTTTAAATAAACAGCCCATGCAAGTTTCCAGTTCTTATGGCCATGCCTGGCTCTCTCAGTGGAAATCTGAGGAGGCTGAGGTGGACTTTCCAGTGGTCAAAGTCTTCCTGCCCGGCATCTATTTCCTGCCCTCTTTCCCCACTGAACTCCCGCACCCTGCTTCAAAGCAAGCTACGGAGGGGGATTCCCTCTGCTTTGAAGCAGGAAAGTGGAAGAGGAGCTGCTTACACGAGTGTAAGCTGCTCCCTGCCCACTTTGCTGCTTCAATGCAGACTCGAGGAGCGAGGAGGATCCATGGGTCCCCTTCCTTCCCTCCTTCGTGGTTGCTCTGAAGCAGGAAAGTGGGAGAGGAGCTGCTTACACGAGTGTAAGCGGCTCCCCTCCCACTTTCCTGCTTCAAAGGGAGCCCGGGAGGAGGGAATCCGCTGCAGCCTCGAGCAGCGAGGAGGATCTATGGGTCCCTCCTTCCCTCCTCCGGTTGCTTTGAAGCAGGAAAGTGGGAGGGGAGCAGCTTACACTCGTGTAAGCAGCTCCTCTCCCACTTTCCTGCTTCAAAGCGAGCCACGGAGGAGGGAGGGACCAACGGAATCCCCTTTCCTCCCTCCTCCCCGGCTCAGCTCAGCAGCCGCGGCTCTTGCTGGCTTTACAATGAGCCGGAAGGAGGGACAGACGGCAGTCCCTCCTCCCGCCTCCCTGTAAACCCAGTCAGAGCCGCAGACACACTCTATGCAGCTCTTGCTTTAAAGGGAGAGCTGCGCAGAGCTTGTCGGCAGCAGCGGCTCTTGCTGGCTTCGCTCCATAAGACGCACAGACATTTCCCCTTACTTTTTAAGGGGGGAAAGGTGCGTCCAATGGAGCGAAAAATACGGTAGTTTTGAGAGGATAGATTTATCATTACTAAGTCTTTTTAGTTTCATTTGCCCTATTTTATCCCCCAACCATTTGATTGTCTTAGATTGTGAGTTCCTGGAGGATGGGACTAACAACAACAACAACAACAACAACAGCAACAGTAACAACAATAACTGTTGGATGACACTCTGAGCTGAATGGGACATAAATGGGATGAATGAATGAATGAATGAATGAATGAATGAAAATCTGCTAGCCTTCATCAGAAGCTGGGTGGAATTTCTCTGGAATCCACTGTAAACTTCCTCTGCTATCTAGACCAAGTTCCTACTTCTATGCATTTACTGCCAAGGTAGCCTCTAATTTAAAGCACAAAGGTAAAACAACAACAAAAGGAAGCTACTCAGCATAAATGACGGGCCATTTCAAGATCACCAGTCTAATAACATCAACTAGTTCTCCTGATTCCGATGGAACAGAGAACAGGTAATCATCATCATCAACATCATCAGTGTCATCTCCTTCCAGATTCAATAACTTAGGACACAAAATGCTTCTGTATTTTCAAGATTCAACTTCAGTTTATTGAACCAGGCACCACTCTGATACCTCAACTTCTTCTTTTGATTCTGGTGGAACAGAGAGAAAGAGCAGGTTGTCAAACATCTGCTGATGGCATTTCACTCCAAACCTCCTTGTCACAGAATCATAGAATTGTGGAGTTGGAAGTTCACCCAAAGGCCATCTAGTTCAACCCCCTGCTATGCGGGAATCACAGCTGAAGAATCCCTGACAGATGGCCAGTAAGAGAAAACTGTACTGGTTCTTTCAAATGGGCCAGGAATGAGCCCATATATAGAGAAGGATGGTTCTCTATATTAGATCTGGGTGGTTATGGAAGTTCAAAGTGTGGAATCTTCAGAAGGATCTTCACAACCACTTGGGGGTGAAATGGAGCAGAACCAGGACTGTCATCTGTAGTGCTCAAAATCACCATAGCAAGGGGTCTTCTTGACGCATCCATGCTTCTAGTATTGAGGAGGAAAATATCCATGAAGAAGAAAAATAAAGGGAGCAGGAGATGGGAGCTTGTACCCAATGATTCATTGGAGAGACATCCCACACCCTGCAGAGGGATCACCATATGTTTCATGATGTTGGAACTGAGAAATGAATGGTTTAATTTTTAAAAAAGTTAATTGCAGTAAGTTCTTATCAGCACCTAGTTCTGCAAAATGCCCGCCCTATTCGGTGACGTATCTGTTTCGTCTTCACCCCATAGACGATTGGGTTTAGCACTGGAGGCACCAGAAGATGGACATTGGCCATCACGGTATGGATGTTGGAGCCATGCGTCTTACCAAACCTGTGAACCATGGACAAGCCAATAAAGGGCACGTAGAAAAGGAAGACAGCACATATGTGGGAGAGGCACGTCCCGAGGGCCTTGACACGTGCCTCTTGGCTCAAACTCAGGGCAGCTTTCAGGATGAAGTAGTAAGACAAGGAGATGAGCAGGGAATCCAGCCCAATGGCGAAAATGATGACCACGAGTCCATAGATGATGTTAACCTTGATGCTGGCGCAGGCTAGCTTCATGACATCCTGATGCAGGCAGTAGGAATGGGAGAGAACGTTGGACTTGCAGAAGGGCAGCCTCTTAATGAAAATGGGCAAAGGGGCCATCAGGGCTGCTCCACGAAATACAGCCACCAGTCCTATTTTAGCTATCCTGGGCGTGGTGAGGATAGACGAGTGGTTCAGTGGGTAGCATATGGCGATGTAGCGGTCGAAAGCCATAGCTAGCAAGATGGTGGATTCCATTCCAGAGAGGCTGTGGATGCAGAACATCTGGACCAAGCAAGCATCAAAGGCGATTCTGGTGGATCTGAACCAGAATATGGCCAACATCTTGGGCACGGTGGACAGGGTGATCATGATGTCGATGGCTGCCAACATGCAAAGGAAGAGGTACATGGGCTCGTGGAGGCTCCGCTCTGAGCGGATGATGTAGATGATGGTGCAGTTGCCCAGAATGGCCAGCAGAAAGAGGAAGCATAGGGGGAAAGCCAGCCAGAAGTGAGATGCTTCCATGCCTGGGAAACCGACTAAAATGAACATGGCAGTGGTGACGTTGCCTTGATGGAAAGAGGACATGGTCAGTGCCTCTGTGTTCCTTCTGGATTCAGTGAGCACTGAAACACAAGGAGCGGGTATTCTTTTTTATCGTATTGATTTATTATTATCTGTCAGTATGCTTTTTACTTTGGTTTATCATTGATGTGTTTTTAATGTTGCACACTGCCCTGGGATCATTTGATAAAGGGCTGTATATTAATTGAATAAATAATAATTTCCCCCTTCAGACTCAGGTAGTACTGTGTAGCCAGTTGAGAACGTTACAGAATATGTGTTTTAGTGGTTCTATGCATTGTGGAGAAGTTGGAGAGGAGCCTTAGGAGAGCTCCTCACACCCCTTTTTTTGCCCATCTCCTGCACAACAACCCTGCAGTGCTGCCAACTGGATCTTACTGTGCAGTAGCTGCCGTCACCACTCTCCCAGTCATCCAACAGGTGATGTCCCTACAGACTGGAGGTGGGCAAATGTTGTCCCCATCTTCAGAAAGGAGGGAAAGGAAGGCCCAGGTAACTACCGACTGGTGAACTTGACATCAATACCAGGGAAGATCCTAGAAAAGATAATTCAAGTTGGTATGTGAGCATTTAGAAAAGGGTGCTGTGATTACTAAGATTTCTCCAAAATAAGTCATGCCAGACCAATCTGTTTGTTTGTTTTTTAAATTTTTATGGCATTACAAACTTGGTGGATCAGGGAAATGCTGTGGACATAGTGTATCTTGATTTCAGTAAGGCTTTTGACAAAGTCCCCTGTGATATTTATGTGAAGAAGCTGGTAAAATGTGGGCTGAATGAGGTAACTGTTAGGTGGATTTGACTGTCTAAACCTGAACAGGATTCCTTCATGGTTCTTCATCATCCTGGGAAAAGTGACAAGAGGGGTTCTGTCCTGGGCCTGTTGTTGTTCAACGTTTTTATAAATGAGATGGATGAAGGAACTGAGGGGATGCTCATCACATTTGCAGATGACACCCAACTGGGAGGGGTAGCTAATGCTGCAGAATCAGAATTCAAAATGACCTTAACAAAATGAATTTCAGTAGGGACAAATGTAAAGTTCTGCACTTAGGCAGGAAGAACCAGATGCACAAATATAAGATGAAGGACACCTGGCTTACTAGCAGCAGTACATGTGAAAAGGATCTAGGGATCTTGGTGGACCACAAGCTTAACATGAGTCAACAGTGGGATGCAGCAGCAAAAAAGGCTGATCACCGAAGAATTGATGCTTTTGAATTATGGTGCTGGAGATTCTCATGGACTGCAAGAGGATCAAACCTATCCATTCTTAAGGAAATCAGTCCTGAGTGCTTACTGGAAGGACAGATCCTGAAGCTGAGGCTCCAAGACTTTGGCCACCTCATGAGAAGAGCAGACTCCCTGGAAAAGACCCGGATGTTGGGAAAGTTGGAGGGCACAAGGAGAAGGGGACGACAGAGGACAGAGATGGTTGGACAGTGTTCTCGAAGCTACGAACATGAGTTTGACCAAACTGCGGGAGGCAGTGGAAGACAGGAGTGCCTGGTGTGCTCTGGTCCAGGGGGTCACGAAGAGTCGGACACGACTAAATGACTAAACAACAACAACAACAACAGGCTGCATCAAGGGACACGGGTGGCGCTGTGGGTTAAACCACAGAGCCTAGGACTTGCCGATCAGAAGGTCAGCGGTTCGAATCCCCACGACGGGGTAAGCTCCCGTTGCTCGTTCCCTGCTCCTGCCAATCTAGCAGTTCGAAAGCACGTCAAAGTGCAAGTAGATAAATAGGTACCGCTCCAGCGGGAAGGGGAACGGTGTTTCCGTGCGCTGCTCTGGTTCACCAGAAGCGGCTTAGTCATGCTGGCCACATGACCTGTACGCCGGCTCCCTTGGCCAATAAAGCAAGATGAGCGCCGCAACTCCAGAGTCATCCGTGACTGGACCTAATGGTCAGGGGTCCCCTTTACCTTTACCTAGGTTGCACCAACAGAAGTCTAGTGTCCAGATCAAGGGAGGTAATAGTCACACTCTATTCTGCCTTAGTCAGACCACACTTGGAATACTGTGTCCGATTCTGGGCACCAGAATTTAAGGAGGATGTTGACAAGCTGGAAGGTGGGCAGAGGAGGGCAACCACGATGATCGAGATTCTGGAAACTAAGCCTTATGAGGAGAAGAGGAGACTGATTGGAGATATGAGAGCCATCTTCAAATATTCTAAGGGCTGTCACATGGAGGAGGGAACATGCCTGTTTTCTCCTGCTCATGGAGGGGAGGACTCAAACCAATGGCTTCAAGTTGCAAGAAAGGAGATTCTGACTAAACATTTGGAAAAAAACTTTCTGACAGTAAGAGCTGTTTGACAGTGGAACAGACTCCCACAAGAGGTGGTGGACTCTCCTTCCTTGGAGGTTTTTAAACAAAGGTTGGACGGACATCTGTCCTGGATGCTTGAGCTGAGATTCCTGCATAGCAGGGGGTTGGACTGGACCTTCCAACTCTAAGATTCTATGAAGATATCCTCCTTTGTGTAATTCAAGATCCAATTAAAACATGACAAGATCACAAATTCTGCTCAGAAATATCACCACCAAAATCATGGCACACTCACCTCCTCTCACTGTTTCTTGAAACAAATACACCAGACCCTGTAGCCTGCATGCCATGGCCTCACACACAATACTCACTTCCTGGGTCTATTTATCCATCTTTCAGGTATCCCTTTGGGTGAGGGAAGAGATACACTGTCCGCAGACGACCGCAGAGCCTGGAGACATACAATATGGTCATGTATCCATAGCAGTGACCGGAGGAGGAATGACCTCTGGGAGGAGAAACGCCCTGTTGGGATTTCAGCCCCCACCAGTTGCCACGCTGGCAGGAAACAGCAGGTGCTGTTTACATCATGTGAAGCCTCACAGCGTGAGACAGGAAGTCAGAGAGGATTCTCAGCCTGACTCACTGTGTGCTGGGAGGGGTCTCTCCCGGTCTCTTCCGCTCTCAGGAGAGAGCTGGGTTGTATGGCAAAACCCAGAGCTTGGGTGCTCAAACATGCAGTCCTTTGTGTTGTTGTTGTTTTGCAGTAAATAAAGTAGTTGTGAAACTACAGGACTGCCTTTTCCCTTTGTTGCTGTACAAGGGAAAATTGGTATGCTTCCTCATGAGAGAGAGGCTGCCCATTTGTCCGACCGTCCTGGACTGAGAGGAGGAAGATTCCTGAACGGCAGCCAGGGATGATCATGAAGCTTCGCCTTTGCAGGATGTTCGGGAGGCTGGCTGGAGGCTGGCACAGCTCCCGGGCTGGTGACGTTTCAGCATGCCCTGGTGCATCTGTGGCAGCACAAACAGATGACTTCATCAGCCCCAGCTGCAACTAAACATGTCTCTCCTGTAGTGGCTTCTATTGCAGGTGCTGCAATCTTCCAACAGTTTGACTTCAGCCCTGAAGGAAATTCTCCATTGTATCCCAAGTGACCTAGGGTTGCCCGATTTCAAAAAGTAAAAGCCAGGACACCCCAAAAGTTGTTGGACAATCCCGCCTTTGAAATCCTGGTATGCATGGTTATGAATTTCTGCACGGCATGTAGAAAGTGGATTGAGAGAACTACAGGCGCCCACTTGACCGCTTCAGCTTTAGGTGCCACATAATAGACCTCAATTGTTTAGTATGGCAGCACAGACCCTTTGGAACTCCCTGCCTCTTGAGATCAAGCAGGCGTCTCCCTCCCACCTTTTTGGGGAACCTGCTAAAAACATGCCTGTGCAGGTGCTTAAAAAGTTGGGGTGAATATTAGCATTTTAACTCTTTAGATGTTTTAAAGTACTGCTGTACATTTTTCATGATTTCAGTGTATCTTTTTGTAAACTGCCTTGAGGGTTTTGTTTTGTTTACAATCAAGCGGTATATACATTTTATGAAATAAATAAATGATCACTAAACTTACTTTTTCAAAACATCCCCCAAAATACTTATTTCCCCATGAGTCCATTAGGCCGGTTTAGATGCATTCTTTTGCTATGTTAGCTTAATCGGAGTTACTGAAAACCAGACTTTCTCAATTTATTCAGATATACGAAAGAGATTGGCTTCTCTCTCCTCAATGGGTAGCTATCACAAACTCAGCTGCAAAGTGGACCGTGAAGCCTCCTGCCTGATGTCAAGTGGCAGGGAGTTCCAAAGTACACTTGCTGCCACACCAAAACATCAGTGTTTTAAGTTGGAGGTTCCTACAGGGCAGGGCAGTTAATTAAAATCCAATTAACAGGATAACCTGAACTGAAGGGAAGATCGGGGGCCAGTGGAAAAATACAGGCTAAGCTTCCTTTCCAAGCCAGGGCCTCACCTGGGATCATAGCTGTCAACCTTCCCTTTTTTTGCGGGAAATTCCCTTATTCTAGTGCTGTTTCCTGCTGCTTCCTGCTGCTATCCCAGATTGTTAGATAGGTGAGGCTGCTGATCCCTTATTTTCAAAGTTGACAGCTATGCCTGGGATAGAGGTGTTAACATGACAAAAGAACTTGATGGCCCATCTGAGAACCTGGTCCTGGTCCATGCACAAAGCTTGCCATGATGATGGGTGTACACATAATAATAATAATAATAATAATAATAATAATAATAATAATAACAACACCATTGGCCATGGTGTCCTCCGTCTGAGTTAGGGGTGGGTGACGCCGGTTTGTGGTGCTCGTGGTCCTTTGTGGATGAGCATCTCCACAGGGTGATGCTTCGGAAGTGCTCTTTGACCCATGGAGCCTTCAATGTGGGGTTCCGTGGGGTTTGATTTTATCCCCTAAGAAACATGAAACCACTAGGTGGGGTTATCCAGAGATTTGGGGCACGTTGTCAGCAATTTGCTGATGACACTCAGTTCTCCTTCTCCTTGACATCTGCAGGTGAGGCAGTCAGTGCTCTGGAGCAGTGTTTTGCCTCGATAACGGACTGGATAAGAGCCAACAAACTGAAGCTCAATCCAGATAAGACTGAGGCCCTGTTAGTGGGTGGTTTCCCACACCAAATGGGTGGGAGATCTCCTGCTCTTGATGGGGTTACCCTTCACCTGAAGGAACAGGTTTGTGGCCTGGAGGATTCCTGGATCCTTTGCTGCTGCTCGAGGCTCAGGTGGTCACAGGGGGTTGCAATGCCTTCCATCAGCTTCTGCCGGTGGCCCAGCTGCACCCCTATCTAGACACTGATCTTTGCCCGACTTCACAGGCCACACAGTTTCTGGGCCAACTTCAGAGTGCTGGTTTTGACCGATAAAGCCTTAAACGGCTCAAGACCGCAATAACTCAAGGCCCACCTCTCTCCATATGAACCAATCCAGACCCTGTGATCAGCCTCTGAAGCCCCACTGGGCTCCCCAAAACCTGTCAGGAATGTACAGGATTCTCAACAACCTGGTGCCAGTCTACCTACAAGATCTCCTTTCCCCACGTGTTCCCAGTTGACCACTGCAATCAGCGAAAATTGCACTGCCACAGGTGACACATAACACCAATTCCACCCGGTAGTTTAATATTTTATATATTATTTGTTAAATTTCTATGTCGTCCTTCATCTGAGGATCACATGGCGGTTTGCAATATAAAACCACCAAAATACATACCATAATAATCACAATAAAAACACCCCTCCCCCACTACTCACACATTTAAAAAGCCATAGGATGCTAATCAACTAAAGAGAAGAATCATAGAATCATAGAAATATTCTGGCCTGGTGCCTAAATATATTTAATCAAGATGACAGGTGAAGAGCATTCCACATACAAGAAGCCACCACTGAAAAGGCCTGTTCTTGTGTCGCCACCCTCCGGACATCTCACAAACTAATACTAAATGATAAATATTTTCTTTTTATGCATTATCTAAAAACCAATATGCAAAACTATACCGTTTCCCCTCTCAGAAATGCTGAGTTGCTAATTCAGTTGAGTAAATCATCACGATTGCTAATAGCATAATGTAGAAAGGCCTGTTGTCTTTGTCCATGGAGTTTTGAAGGCAGGAGTGCCTGGCGTGCTCTGGTCCATGGGGTCACGAAGAGTCGGACACGACTAAATGACTAAACAACACAAGAAAGGCCAGCAAAATATGGGGAAGCCCCCTAGCTCCACACCAGACCACTTGCTTGCCATGCAGAATGTCCCAGGGTGAAACCTAGGCTCCTTCTGGCCTCACTATGATAGTCAGCATATTATAGTCGACAGAAAGAGATAACAGAACCAGTTTAAACCAGCTGCACTCAGCTTCTCATGAAGGAATAACCCAAACATCAGGAACCTTGTGCTTGTTTCTCAAACACAGAGAAGCTTCGAGAACCATCTTGAATTCACCAGAATGTTTAGAATAACCTTTGTGGGAAAACCAGAAGCATTTTTACTAGGACTTTTAGGTGCAGAAATACCAATGGATCAGAAAATATTATTTATGTATGCAACGACAGCAGCGCAGATACTTGTAGCCCAGAGATGGAAGAAAGAAAAAGTCCCTACTAAAGAAGAATGCTTAATGAAGATGATGGACTATGTTGAAATGGCGAAAATGACCAGGAGGATCAGAAATCAAGAAGGCAAGAACTTTAATAAGGAATGGGGGAAAGCTACTTTGGAGAACAACTAAAAACATTGGCAGGACTGTTATAACGCTCATATTGTAGCAAGAATTATGGTAAGAATAGTGTTTTAAGAAAAAAATGGAAGACTTTATAAGATGTATAAAGAGCAATTAGGTTCTTTTAGATCTGTTTAGGTGTTTAACATAGATGAAACGTAGGCTACTCTAGGAGAGCACAACACAACAGACAACCAATATTGGATTTCCTCTATAGTACTACTTTATTGATTACCATGGAATACATTTAACAAGACAGAGGGACATGCACTCAGTCACTCTCTCTCTCTCTCTCTCTCTCTCTCACACACACACACACTCAAAACTGGAGAGTCTCGCCTTGTATACTTTCCTTGTTGTTCATCTGAATCTTCGCATTCTTTCGTCCTTGGCATGGTATTTTACAACTCTTATTATTTGAAACTGATGTTGTGTAGCTTTTGGCATATCACAACTCTTACTGTTCAAAACTGATGTTGTATAGCCGGTCTTCATGCCTCCTTGCATGTACCGTTCCCAACATACTGCTTTGGCCAGAACATGCACATTCCATTAGCTCTTTGATCAACGCAGTTCACTGATCAACTGCATCCATTTTGTGGTGTTCTTCAGCCATCTTAGGCCCATACAAACCATGCCATTCATTACATATTCCCTCTCTTGATGTGTAAATTTATTTATACTTCACTTTAAAATCAATATGCAAATATTCTAAGACAGAATTCAATCGTGTCTGCAGATTCTTTAAGCATTTAAGGAAAATGCATATCCAATTACACTGAATAATATCAACAGAATAATCACAATAGGGTGTTTCAATAGATGTAAGAAAGCAGACGTCTTTGGAGAATAGCCTTTAAATATATCTCACAAATGATATTCAGTAAAGCTAGATTCTTCATCAGCAATTTGTTGAAATTTTCCATTTTCATATTGTATTTTTAGAAATGCCATTTTTGTATTCTAAGCATGTTGTTCCAAGTGTTTTCGTATTTGATCATTATGCAAAAACAATGTCATTAACTTCTGATAGTCTGGTCCTATAGAAACTGTGTAGGTTTAATGGCAAATACACAGAATCCTTAATCGTTTCCGACACAATATTTCCAGTTCTCAAATTTTGCACATAGGTTATGTAGATTTCCCAACATCACTACAGGTTACATTTGCATCCCTGATGTTTATCAATTCCAGTGAGAGTTCCATCTGACCACAATTCAGGGTCCACAGTAGTAACATGTAAGCATCCAATCCCAGTATCTTAAATAAAAGTATCATTACTCATCTTTTGTAATTGACAGATTCCATCACTAACATCAAACACACAAGGTTCACTTTGTCCAAAATGTGGTGAGCAAACATATCCTTTCCCCCATTTTTCACACCTAGAGATTTCAATCATAACATTATCCTTATGATTCAAAACATTAGAACATAACAACTTATGAGAAAGAAAATAAGGAACCCAAAATATATCATTAACAATAATAGGTAAAAGTGTAACATCACACATCATAGATATTGTGGTATTATGTATTCCACTGTGTTCAAGTGATGATAATTCTACTTTCCATACATCATTAATAATCAGATAATCAGTTAATCTAAACCACTCAGAATAATCCTTATGCAGTATACTTTCAAGATTTCCTTTAAAAAATATATATATTAGAAATTTCAACACAATAGTTTCAACAAAAATACATCCTCCACATTGTCCCCCCCCATTCCCCCTCTAAACAGAACACCCCCCCTCCCACCCCACTCCCAGACTTCCCTCAGCTCCTTTCGCTGGTTTCTCAACACATATTTTTATCTGCATGTTATAAAATTGTAAAAATCCTCAAATTATCTATCTAGTTTGTGAATATTTATTCAAAACCTGCCAAAGAGTCCAGTTCATTTTGTTGTTTCTTCAAATATTTCATAAAAGGTTCCCATTCGTCTTTGAAATCACAATTATCCCCACGCTGGAGGAATGGCAGATGAAACTGATGGACTATATGGAACTGGCGGAAATGACTGGCAGAATCCGTGACCAGGGAGAAGAGTTGGTGGAGGAAGATTGGAAGAAATTCAAAGATTATCTTCAGAAACATTGCAAAATTAAAGAATGTTAGAGTGATGTTGTATCAAAAATAAGTGGTTTCCAGCTGTACAGGTTAAAGTTATTGATAGACTAAGATTAAAGATTAGGATTAAAGATGTTTAAGGAAATGGAAATTTGGTACTTAAGAGGTAAAATTTTAATGTTATATTACATTAAGATTAAAGATTAGGATTAAAGAAGTTTAAGTGTTATATATTATATTAAGATTAAAGAGTGGGAGTCAAAAAGTGGAAAAGAAATTGCTGGACAAACAATTTGGACTGGAATACAAAAGAGGGAGGTATGAGGAAGTCCAGAAAATAAGTAAATTCAAAAACGGAAATGGAAAAGTGATACTGTTTTTAATTGTTCTGTTTCTTTTTAGTTTCTTTTGTATTTTGTTTTCTGTGTTTTCCTTTTTTGGGGGGATTCTGTATTGTGTATTTTTGTACTTCTACTTTTATGTTTTTCTGTTTAACTTTCTATTGAAACCTTAATAAAAATCATTTGAAGGAACAAAAATGAAATCACAATTATCATTCTCACGTAGTTTGTGTGTTAATTTTGCCAATTCCGCATAGTCCATCAGTTTTTCTTGCCACAGTTCTTTCATCAGGATTTCCTCACTCTTCCACCCTTGTGCTATGAAGACTCTTGCCGCTGTTGTCGCATACATAAAAATATTTTTTAATTTCTTTGGCAGGTCTTTTCCCTCAATCCCTAATAAGAAAGCTTCAGGCTTTTTCACAAATGTTGAATGGAACGTTTTCTTTAGCTCATTAGATATCATTTCCCAAAACATTTTAATTTTACTGCAGTCCTGGGCTGGGCTGGATGAATCCCAAACTGGAATTAAGATTGCTGGAAGAAATATCAACAACCTCAGATATGCAGATGACACAACCTTGATGGCAGAAAGTGACGCGGAATTAAAGAACCTTTTAATGAGGGTGAAAGAGCAGAGCACAAAATATGGTCTGAGGCTCAACATCAAAAAAACGAAGATCATGGCCACTGGGCCCATCACCTCCTGGCAAATAGAAGGGGAGGAAATGGAGGCAGTGTGAGATTTTACTTTCTTGGAGATGGTGGTGTTGGGATACTGCCAGGGAGACAAAGTCCATCATGGCCCCCAAGCCGGCTGCCGGACGATCCATCGATCTCCCGTAGGTACGCAGTATCAGCAATTAGCGACATGAGTTTCTAGAAGATTTCTTGCCACATTCCAGAGCTCATGCACACTCTATCAGCAGATAATGCACAGCCAAAAGTTGCACTCAGGAGAGCATTATTTACAAGTTTATTCAGCGTTGATCAGAACACAGAAAAACATGACTGCCTGCTTTAGTGTCTACGACACACAGAGAGAAAACGAAAGCAATAGCAAACATAAACATCCTGTGAACAGGAAATACGCAGACTCTGTGACTCACAGCCTGCTCCCTTTTAAGGTGGAACGGAAATATCCTAACAGGTGGGACAGCGTTCTCGAAGCTACAAACATGAGTTTGACCAAACTGCGGGAAGCAGTGGAAGACAGGAGTGCCTGGCATGCTCTAGTCCATGGGTTCACAAAGAGTCGGACACGACTAAACGACTAAACGATAACAACAACAACAACAACAACAACAACAACAACACGGTATATTTGCAAACCATTTGTAGTCATTGTTTAGCAGAGAGATAGGCTTGTAGTTTGTTGTTGTTGTTGTTTAGTCGTGTCCAATCAGATCAATACTTTCTGTACTAAGAAATACAAACTGACAAGTCTGACTCTATAGATATTCCCCTGGCTCTATATTCTCCTCACAGATGATCAGAGCCAGTTCTCCCTCCATCCAACCCTCTCTCCCATCTCAAATCCAGCCCTCTTCAACTCTCTCCCTTTTATTGCCCTGCCCAAAGTCCTGGCTCCATCCCCTTCCCTCTGTCAAGGTAGCCAATCAGAGAGGCTCTGGCCCTCTGGTGGAATTCTCAGGCACTGCATCCCCAGACTCTGCTGTCCATCAAACCTCCGTCTTATATTGGTGCATCTGGTTCTTCCTGCCTAAGTGCAAAGCTTTACTTTTCTCCCTACTGAAATTCATTTTGTGAGCTTGGGCCCGGTTCTCCAATCCATTAAGGTCATTTTGAATCCCAATTCTGTCTTTTGTGGCATTAGCTGCTCTTCCCAGTTTGGTTCACCTGAAAATTTCATCAGCATCCCCTGAATTCCTCCACCGAATTTTTTTTTATAAAGTAGTTGAGCAACAACGGGCCCAGGACAGAATCATGTGGCATCTCACTTGTCACTTCATCCCAGGATGACGAAGAACCATTACTGAAATCTTCGGATGAAGGGCAGAACATGACTTTTATAAATAATAAAAAGGATATCAACAAGCTGAAACATGTACAGAGGATGGCAACCAAGAATCTATTGATTTATTGATTGATTTGATTGAATTTGTATACCACCCTATTCCCATAGGTCTCAGAGTGATCACAACAGAAAATCACACTATAAAAACACAAAATACACAATAAAACTATAAATAATGGAAGATAGAGCAAACCTTTTTTTCTTCCTGCTCTAGAGGGTAGGACATCAACCCAATGACTTCAAGTTAAAAGAACGGAGATTTCTGACTAAACATGAGGAAGAACTTTTGACAGCAAAAGCTGTTAGTGGAATGGACTCCCTTGGAAGGTGCTGGAATCTCCATCCTTTGAGATTTTATGAAGTTGGATGGTCACCTGTCATGGATGCTTTAGCTGCGATGCCTGCTTCACATGGGGTGGACTAGATTACACTAGAGGTCACTTCCAACTCCACAATTCTATGATCCTATGATTCTCCTCACTATGAGTTTTTTGATGAGAAGTGAGATTGGATCTCTGACAGAAGCTCTTTCCACATTCCATGCACTGATATGGTTTCTCTCCTGTATGAATTCTCTGATGGGAAGTGAGAAAGGAGCTCTCCCTGAAGCTCTTTCCACATTCAAAGCACTGATAGGGTTTCTCCCCTGTATGAATTCTTTGATGGATAGTGAGTTTGGAGCTGGTACTGAAGCTCTTTCCACATTCCACACACTGATAGGGTTTCTCCCCCATATGAATTCTTTGATGGGAAGTGAGACTGCAGCTCTGACTAAAGCTCTTTCCACATTCCACACACTGATAGGGTTTCTCCCCTGTATGAATTCTTTGATGAGATATGAGAGAGTCCTTTGTACTGAAGCTCTTTCCACATTCCATGCACTGATAGGGTTTCTCCCCTGTATGAATTCTTTGATGGGAAGTAAGATGTGAGCTCTGACTGAAGCTCTTTCCACATTCCATACACTGATAGGGTTTCTCCCCTGTATGAATTCTGTGATGGGAAGTGAGAGAAAAGTTTTGACTGAAGCTCTTTCCACATTCCATGCACTGATAGGGTTTCTCCCCTGTATGAATTCTGTGATGGGAAGTGAGAGAGGAGCTATCCATGAAGTTTTTTCCACATTCCATGCACTGATAGGGTTTCTCCCCTGTATGAATTCTTTGATGGGAAGTGAGATGGGAGCTCTTCCTGAAGCTCTTTCCACATTCAAAGCACTGATAGGGTTTCTCCCCTGTATGAATTCTGTGATGGGAAGTGAGAGAGGAGCACTGACTGAAGCTCTTTCCACATTCCACACACTGATAGGGTTTCTCCCCCGTATGAATTCTTTGATGGCAAGTGAGATTGGAGCTCTGACTGAAGCTTTTTCCACATTCCACACACTGATAGGGTTTCTCCCCTGTATGAATTCTTTGATGGGAAGTGAGAGAGGAGCACTGACTGAAGCTCTTTTCACATTCCATGCACTGGTAGGGTTTCTTTCTAATGAGATTTATTTGATGGGAAATGGAATGGGAGCTCTGATTGCAGCTCTCTCCACACTCCAAATTTTTATGTGGCTTCTCCTCTCTGGGGATTTTCTCATGGTCACCCTTGTTCTTGATTTCCAATTTTTCACAATCTGCAATGGAAACAAAAAGGAATTAGAGCCTGAGGAACAAATGGAAGTCCCAGTTATGGATTAATGCTAATTAAATTTGTGGTAGGCAACCAATTGATGAAGACCCCAGCAACAAATCAGGAATATCAAATCAAGATCATGACAGTGACTAGGCACCACAAATAAAAAGAGTATAAGAAAGAGCATAACAAACCAAGGCAACTTTTAGCAGTTACTTCTTAGAAACAATCTGTGCAGTTAATACTGCATTTTTAAATTGTCTAATTGTAATATCTGATTTTTCCTGTTTCTCCCCTCTTTCTTTCTTTCTTGTCTTCTTTCTTCTTTATTCAAATTAATAAAGAATGAATCTAAAAATACTATCATGGAATATAAAAGGATTGAATGATAAAAAGAAAAGAAACAAGGTAGAACGCATAGTGGAAAAACAGAATTTAGATATAGCATGTATCCGAGAGACACATATAAATAAAAAACACACAAGAGTGTTGATAAATCCAAAACTAGGGTCAGAATTTATAACAGCAGACAAAAAAAAAAGGAAAAAAAAGAGGTATGGTGATATACGTAAAACCTAACCTGGAGCCAAAGCTAATATATAAAGACGCAAATGAAAGGATAATAATTAAGATAAAAATCACAAGGGGAATCTTTTATGATAATTGGGATATATGTCCCAATCAACGAGTGGATAGTTTCGAAAGATGCAGATTTAGTTGACTTAGACAATCACTTTGGATGGCATGCTTATATGATATATGATAAGGTGAAGGTCCACATGGGTTTTTTGAATCATATTGTAAGAAAATCACTATATAAGATATGGAACAAATATAAAGATCTCTTAGAACCCAAAACCCCCGGTGAACCTCCCCATTGGAAGCCATAGCCATTAAGAAAAAGAATATGCAAAGCAATTGGGCAACGTACAGAATGATCCTGGAGGAAAATAACAACAAACTAAAGTTGAAAGAATTTGGTAAAATTAGAACATATTTAACAGATTGGCTACAATATTTCCAATTAAACGAAAGATTTAGTTTAGATAATATAAAAAGGATTTGCAAATGAAACTTCCAAATTTGAAAAAGGACTCCTTCAATCCAAGAACAAATATATTTCGAAAATGTACAACCTCCTCCTGGATTGGGAGGTAAAGGAGGAGAAAGTGAAAGAATCTATGATTCGCTGGGCACAAAATTTAGGCCACAATATATACATGTGTCAGTGGGAAAAACTGTGGAGAGTTGACATCAAATTTACTGTATGTATGAACTTAAGAGAAAATGTTTTGAAAATGTTATATAGATAGCACTTGACACCAGCAAAACTAGCCAAAATATATAAGAACAGGTCAGACTTATGTTGGAGATGCAAAAAAAGAAATGGAACTTACATGCATATGTGGTGGGAATGTGACAAGATTAAAGATTTTTGGGATACCATCTACAATGAGTTAAAGAAAATGTTTAAAATTTCATTCCCTAAAAAACCTGAGGCATTCCTATTAGGTCTTATGACACCAGAAATCCAAAAGAAATACAGACCACTATTCATGTATGCTTCAACTGCAGCAAGGATTTTAATAGAGGAAAAAGGAAACACGACATCATCCCCTCAAAGATTGAATGGCAAGCCACATTGATAGAGTACTTACAATTAGCAAGGAGAACGGGGTCAATAAGAGGAAATACAATACAGTGGTGCCTCGCAAGACGAAAAGAATTCGTTCCGCGAGTCTTTTTGTCTTGCGATGTTTTTCGTCTTGCGAAGCACGGTCCGTCGCAACTGCGCCTCTTCAAGCGGCTTTAAAAAAAAAGCGCAAGACGTTTTCGTCTTGCGAAGCAAGCCCATAGGGAAATTCGTCTAGCGAAGCAACGCAAAACCGAAAAACCCTTTCGTCTAGCGAGTTTTTCATCTTGCGAGGCATTCGTCTTGCGGGGCACCACTGTACAAGAAGAGGTGGAGCCAACGGTAATGGCTGCTTCTCTCTAATTTGGAGAGAACTAGCTCTACGGAATTTGGGTCCTGTCGCTACGGCGCAGCGGGGACCCCCAAATAAATCACAGGCGGGTGAAGCCTGTGAACGTGGGACTCAGCGGGCACCGTTTGCGCCCCCCCAATTGCTAAAGGAGCTCGGCAACGGGCTCCGGAGCGGAGCGGGGTGGCGTGGTGCTGTGAGCAAATTGCTTCTTCCGTGGAGTGAAGCCGCGAAGCTGTTACCGGAGAGCTCTGCCTTTTTTCCTGGGATAATTGGCACTGAAAACAACTACCCGTGAGTAGGAGTAAATTGGATTTAAAGGGGAAAAAAGTTAATTTGGCATGAGCGGGGAACGTACAAGCAGGAAGTCTACCTCCCCTGAATTGTAAATAGATCAAAGCAAAGAGACTTCAAAGCAGAAACTTGGAAAGTCATTTAAATGTGCTAAATTCCAACATCTTGAAAGTGGTTCCCCCTCCGGATTGCAGGGGAGGAGGGTGAAAAAGACTGAGCTGAATTTCCCTGCAGTAAAGAAGGGGAGAGGAAGGAAGAATTTACAATTTAAGATTCAGAACGGACTGCCTTAAGACAGAGGTTTATAGTGAAAGTTTGTTTCTGACAGCCAATTCTGCAAAAGTGATACAGTGTTTCCAAACCTCTTTTGGCTTAAAAGTAACTGTTTAAATGTATTGAGACTGTGGACTTCGAAAGTAAATTGGGGGATTTATAAAGACTATTTTTGTTTTTAAAAAGTTACAAGTTCTGGCTGTTACTGTGTCTCCCTAGAGGAGATTGGACATTGTTACAACAATAGTTACAAAGAGGAAAATTCCACTCTATGTCAAAACAATTGGTTGACTGTGGGAGCGACCTTGAATGTCTATGAGACTGTTATGGCAGAGGATAAGGCGGAATCGCAGGAAAAAATTACTAGATCTGGCAGATATTATCAGATAGATACTGCGTTGCCGCGAAGGGGCTCAACATCTGGAGCATCTGGAGCATTAGGGGCCCCACTCCCACAGTCTAAATCAAAAGTTATGACGTCAGAAGAAGTTTTGGCACAGGCTCTGGCAAAAATTAATGAATCTTTGGAAAGCCTAAGTAAACAGGTAATTGAGACAAATAGACAAGTAGCAGAAACAAATAGGCAAGTAGTTGAGACAAATAGACAAGTTGTGGAAGCATCAAATAAAATTGATTTAAATACTGCAAGTATAAATACCTTGGGACAGAAGGTGAATGCCAACACAGAGACTATCGAAAAATTACTACAGGAATCTGCCTTGATTCGACAAACTGCACAGGAAGCAAAAGATATTGCAATTGCTACTCAGGAGAAAATTCCACCTGTATATAAGAAATTGGAGGACCATGATGTGACATTTTCCATGTTTGAATTAAAAGATAGACAGAGAAATCTGAGAATTAGGGCTGTTCCAGAGCGGGAGAAAGATAATTTGGCTGACTTTCTTACACAGGAATTTACAGATTTTTGGCAATTGGACCCGGGGAAGGAAGAATTTAAGATAGTGAATGCATTTAGGCTCGGAAGATGACAAGGCAAGGGCAAGGTGAGAGACTGTTTGATTACCTTTCAAACAAAAGAAGAGAGAGATAAAATTCTGAATTTGCACTATCAAAAAACTTTGGAAATTGATGACTCAAGACTAGTGATTTTTAAGGACATCCCAAAGCATTTGCTGGACTTAAGGTCCAATTACGGAGACCTAGTGACCTTATTGAAAAGAAACAGAATTCTTTTCAGGTGGGAATTTCCGCAAGGCCTGTCCTTAAAATATAAAGTGAGAAAGATAAAAATAAAATCAACTGAGGAAAAAGACAGATTCTTGAAAGACCACGAGGAAGATCTACTGAAAGAAGGGGAATCTGAAGAAGAACCAAAAGGCATACTAGACATATCAAATTTATCTTTTGGACTGCACGGTCCAGAAAAAGTGATACTACCCACAGAACAAGAAGCGGCACTTGGGGCAGTTGGAGGTAAAGTGAAGTAGCCCCCACCATGGCTCTGCAACTATTAAGCTGGAATTGTAACGGTTTGAATTCTCCGCGAAAAGAAAAAGTGTGTTTCATTTATTAAAAAAGAACAATTGGACTTGATTTGTCTACAAGAGACACATATAATAAGGGCACATAGGAAGTTATTGATTAATAAAAGATTAGGACAGGAGTTTGTCTCATCTGACAAAGTTAAAAAAAAGAGGAGTCGTGATTTATGCAAAGGAGAGACTTTTACCGAAATTTATCTTTAAAGATGATCAAGGAAGATTTTTGGCAATTGAAATTCAACTACAAGGAGAGAAATTCTTAATCATGGGAATTTATGCACCGAACGAGGGGAAATCTGAATTCTATAAAAAGTTGCATGAGACTTTATTGGATCATTTGGACTATAATTTGATTTTGATGGGGGACATGAATGGAGTAGTATCTACAAATATGGACAAGGCTCAAAGACAGGTAGTCACCAAGGATGGTAGACTACCGAAAACTTTTTTGAGATGACAGACAATATGGACTTAGTGGACATCTGGAGGGTAAAGAACCCCTGGGAAGAGAAGGAACCTTTTTTCTGAAGCCAAGATGACATGGACTAGAATTGACCAAATATGGATAACTAGAGGAATGGCACCAAAGATAAAGAAGGTAGAAATCTGCCCAAAAACTTGTTCCGACCATAATGCTGTAAGGATGGAGATGAAACAAACAACAACCGGATCCTTTAGATGGAGGATGAATGACACCTTATTTAGAGATGAAGAAGTTTACAAAAAGGCCCAAAAGACTTTGAGAGACTATTTTGAAATAAATATGAATACCAATGTAGAAAAAAGAGTAATCTGGGACGCAAGCAAAGCTGTGATGAGAGGGTTTTTGATACAACAGAATGCAATAAAGAAGAGAAGTCAAAATGAAAAGAAAGATAAAATTTTGGAAAAAATAAAAGAAGGAGAGAAGAAATTGAGAGCAAAACCAAAGTCCCAGGATATTTTGAGAGAAATAAAATTATATCAAGTACAATATATGGAAATGATGAATCAGGAAATAGAATGGAAAATCAAACAAATGAGACAAAAAACATTTGAATCAGCTAATAAATGTGGAAAACTGTTGGCCTGGCAAATGAAAAAAAGACAAAAATTAAATACTATTATAAATTTAGAAGTGGAAGGAAAGAGTATACATAATCCAAATGAGATTAGAAATTGCTTCCAGAAGTACTTTAAACAATTATACACACAAGGGCCACAGAAGGAAATGGACATAGACCAATTTTTGAAGACAAATGGCCTACAAAAATCTCTCAAGAAAGTAAATTAATGCTGAACTATAAAATATCTGAACAGGAAGTAGAAGGTGCCATACAAAATATGCAATTGGGCAAATCTCCAGGACCGGATGGGCTGACTTCCAGATACTATAGATCTTTGAAAGAGTGGTTACTGCAACCTTTGAAGGAAGTCTGCAATGAAATACTGGAGGGAAAAGGGCACCAGAATCGTGGAAAGAGGCGTATATCACACTTATACCGAAAACAGAGACTGAAAAGACTCAGCTTAAGAACTATCGCCCTATATCGTTACTTAATGTGGATTACAAAATTTTTGCAGACATTTTGGCCAAGAGATTGAAAAAATATTGATGAAAGAGATTCATAAAGACCAAGCGGGCTTTCTCCCGGGAAGACACCTGTCTGATAATTTGAGGAATATAATTGATATTTTGGAAAAATTAGAAGTGAATATAAACACCAAAGCAGTATTGATATTTGTTGACGCGGAGAAAGCTTTTGATAATATCTCTTGGAGTTTTATGAAGAAGAATCTGCATGGGATGGGGGTAGGCCAAGGTTTTGAAAATGGTATAGGTGCAATATACTCTGAACAAAAGGCTAAATTAATCGTAAATAATGTGGTTACGGAAGAATTTAAGATAGAAAAAGGGACACGACAGGGGTGCCCAATTTCCCCACTGCTTTTTATATCGGTCCTGGAGGTTTTGCTAAATATGATTAGAAAGGACCGGTTGGTTAAGGGCATACAGGTCGGAGCTAAACAGTACAAATTGAGAGCATTTGCAGATGACCTAGTATTGACGTTACAGGAGCCAGAATCTAGTACTAAAAGAGTTTTAGAATTAATTCAGGAATTTGGTCAGGTGGCAGGTTTTAAATTGAACAAGTTAAAAACTAAGGTTTTAGAGAAAAACTTAACACCGATTGAAAGAGAGAGGTTTCAGAATGAGACAGGATTGAATGTGGTAAAGAAAGTGAAATACTTGGGGATTAATATGACAGCCAAAAATGGGAACTTATTTAAAGATAATTACGAAAAATGTTGGACGGAAGTGAAAAAGATTTAGAAATTTGGTCAAATTTGAAACTCTCGTTGCTGGGCCGTATTGCTGTGATAAAGATGAATGTATTGCCTAGAATGTTGTTTTTGTTTCAGACATTACAAATTGTAGATAAGATGGACTGTTTCAAGAAGTGGCAGAGAGATATTTCTAGATTTGTCTGGCAGGGCAAGAAGCCCAGAATAAAATTTAAGATATTAACTGATGCCAAGGAAAGAGGTGGATTTGCCCTGCCAGACCTTAAACTTTATTATGAATCAGCAGCTTTTTGCTGGCTGAAAGAATGGCTACTTCTTGAAAATACAGACATTTTGGATTTAGAAGGTTTTAACAATGTATTTGGATGGCATGCATACTTATGGTATGATAAGGTCAAAGCACACAAAGCATTTAAAAATCATATTGTTAGGAAAGCATTGTTTAATGTCTGGATAAGATACAAAGACTTATTGGAAAATAAAACCCCAAGGTGGCTGTCACCAATGGAAGCAAAAGCTCTGAAAAGGCTCAATATGGAGGCCAAATGGCCGACATATTGGGAAATTTTGGAGCAAGAAGGAGATAAATTGAGACTGCAGAGTTTTGAAAAATTAAAAAATAAAGTGAGAGATTGGCTCCACTACTATCAGATAATGGAGGCATATAATTTGGATAAGAAAATAGGCTTCCAAGTGGAAAAGTCAAAATTAGAAACAGAATTGTTAGAACCCAAAACTAAAAATTTGTCAAGAATGTATAACTTGCTGTTGAAATGGAATACTCAGGATGAAACGGTGAAATCTGCTATGATTAAATGGGCACAAGATGTTGGACATAATATTATGTTCGCTGACTGGGAACAGTTATGGACCACAGGTATGAAGTTTACGGCATGTAATGCCTTAAGAGAGAATATTATGAAAATGATATACAGGTGGTACATGACCCCAGTCAAGCTTGCAAAAATTTATCATTTGCCCGATAATAAATGTTGGAAATGTAAAGAAACTGAAGGTACATTCTTTCACCTTTGGTGGACGTGCCCAAAGATTAAGGCTTTCTGGGAAATGATATATAATGAACTGAAAAAGGTATTTAAATATACCTTTCTGAAGAAACCAGAGGCCTTTCTCTTGGGCATTGTCGGCCAACTGGTGCCAAAGAAGGACAGAACCTTTTTCATGTATGCTACAACAGCAGCAAGAATACTTATCGCAAAGTATTGGAAGACACAAGATCTACCCACTTTGGAAGAATGGCAGATGAAGGTGATTGACTACATGGAATTGGCGGAAATGACTGGCAGAATCCGAGACCAGGGAGAAGAGTCGGTGAAAGAAGACTGGAAAAAATTTAAGGACTATTTACAGAAATATTGTAAAATTAAGGAACTTTAGAAGGATGCTGGATAGAAATTAAGAGGTTTTTAGCTGTAATGCTTTAAGAGACATGGGAAAAAAAGGTTAACAATTGGGTAAAAGATTAATGGTAAGGATTTGCTGAACCAACAAACTGAATTGGAATACAAAGAAGGGAGGTATGAGGAGGTCTGGGGAAATAAGAGTAAGGAAGATAGGTTATGGAACATTATTGTGTTTTTAACTGTTTTATTTTGTATGTTTTTTCTTACTTTTTGCTTTTTTGCTGTAATTTACACTTTTTTCTTTGTTTTCTGTATTTTTGTGAAACTTTAATAAATATCTTTAAAAAAAAAAAAACAAGAAGTAAATAAGGATTGGTTAATAATTAAGGAATACCTCAGAGAGTACTGGAATAGTAAAAGTTTTCTGGCAGATATTGAAGGAGCCTTGTAATACAAAGTACATGTCAGATAAAGTTAAATTAAGTTAACAAAAAACAATGTTGTGTAACTGTGTAAATAACAGTTTATTTGAAAATTAGTACAATGGGTATAGTCGGAAGTTTCTTTTCTTTGCTGACTGAAATATGAGATATTACTATGTTTTTTACTCTATTCATACTTTTATTCCTTTTTCTTTTCTTTTCTTTTCTTTTCTTTTCTTTTCTTTTCTTTCCCCCCTCTCCCTCGCTTTTTCCTTTTTGGACACACAGCTGTCCATGGAGGTGCAGGTCAATTCAGTGTCTAGGGCAGCTGTCTACCAGCTCCATTTGGTATGCAGGCTGAGACCAAATAACACCAGACCTGAAAGACCTACACTGGCTCCCAGTACGTTTCCGAGCACAATTCAAAGTGTTGGTGCCGACCTTGAAAGCCCTAAACGGTCTTGGCCCAGTATACCCAAAGAAGCGTTTCCACCCCCATCGTTCAGCCCAGACACTGAGGTCCAGCTCCGAGGGCCTTCTGGTGGTTCCCTGACAGAGAGAAGTGAGGTTACAGGGAACCAGGCAGAGGGCTTTCTTGGTAGTGGCGCCCGCCCTGTGGAATGCCCTCCCATCAGATGTTAATGAAATAAACAACTATCAGACTTTTAGAAGACATCTGAAGACAGCCCTGTTCAGGGAAGATTTTAATATTTGATGTTTCATCGTGGTTGTAATCTTCTGCTTGGAGCTGCCCAGAGTGGCTGGGAAACCCAGTCAGATGGGCAGGGTATGAACAAATTATTATTACTATTATTACTATTATCACTATTATTACTATTATTATCTGAGATTCGAAAAGCCTGCCTGTTCTCTGGGATGGATTTTGTTTGGCCCAGTCATGGCATCCCCTCCATCCCCAATGCCAGCTGTCTCGTTGGTTAACCCAAGATTGACAGGAGCAAAAACAGAAAACCTGACAGAGGTTACTTATCTTTCCCAACAACTCTGAAGCTGACATTTAAGATGGCCTGGGCAGTCCAGCCCAGCCCCATCATGGTATAAAAAGGCAGGACTGGAGGAAGACTGTTCACAGAAAGAATAGTAATTTGTTGTTCAACCCAGCAAATTATACCCAGCCAGATAGGCGGGGTATAAATAATAAAGATGACGATGATGATGATGATGATGATGGTGTTAGGATCCCACGGGTTGTAGGGGACACTGTTGAGCTCTGAAAATAGATGAGGTTCCTCACATAGAGGCATTTTTTGAATTTCCAGGCAGATAGGACAATTCCACAGGGAGCCTTACCAAGAGAGGCCACAATCCCACGATTCTCCTCCCTGACGTCCATATGCAGAGCTCTCTGGTCAGGATCCAGCAACGCCCACTCCTCGTCCGTGAAACGAACAGCAGCATCTTCCAAGCACACTGGACCCTGAAAGAAAAAGGGAAAAGTCCTCCTCTGAGACAGCAGAAATATGATCCGCTACAGAAAACTCGGTTGTGTATGTGACATGAATGAGCCAGCTCCCAGGGAAGGAAGCAGCCAGGGAGAGAGAGGGTTACACGGGAGTCAACTCCCCCTCCCTTAGGAATGCAAACTGAAAACAAGAGTTCAGAGAGTCAGCCTGCAGCCTGCCTGAGGGTCAGTGAAGAACAAAACACAGCAGTTAGAAAGGAAAGCAATTTAGAGAGCAGGAAAGACCATGGAAGTTTGACTGCTTCTGGGCTCACTGGAAGCCCCCTCCTTAGAAGAGACATCTTTGATTATGGAAGGATGGCCATGCTTGCCGCTCCGATGAACTTCGTTTGTTTTGCAATAAATCTTGCTTTTAATCAAGTACTCTCGTTATCGAGACTCCCTTACAGTATGGGTATTCGACTTTGTGCAAATAGGTGGTACTCCACATTGTGGTTTTCAAATCATTCTGCCTACCCAAGCATTCCAGTTTCCCAGATGGAAGGATCCACTTTCTCCTCTCCTCGTGAGTTGTTCTGGGGAGGTTCCCTCCCAATGCCCCAGAGCCAAATTCAATGGGTTCAGGGAGGCGTGGAGAGGGGGAGGGATGGGGGGCAGGCCCCATTTTTCATCTTATGGGGCTGGTTAGGTGAATGCTGGCCACTATTTGTTCTCATTTGTACACTTCTTAGAAATTTTAGCATTCAATGATCAGCATAGAAATACAATAAGCCTAGTCTGGATGGCCATCTGTCTTGGATGATCTAGCTGAGACTCCTGCAATGCAGGGGGTTGGACTTGATGACCCTTGGGGTCCCTTTCAACTCTAGGAGTCTATGAAAACAGCAACTACTGATGAATCGTAGTGGTGACGTTCAGAAGGCTGGTATAGCAGAGTTAAATGGGCAGGAAATCCCACAGTTCACAGCTGGAGTTAACTCTTTATCAGCAAGAACATGATATTCGCAGACTTGGCTGAGTTTCAGACCTAATGAGAACAGCAGCTCATTCCCTGAGCATCTTCCTCAATGAAATCAGTTGCAGAGAATGAAGGCCGTCGGCTCCCGACAGCTTTCTAAGTCCCCTTCTCTCTGGGGTTTCTGGCAAGTGATCGAACAGTGCGCCAGTGTGCAGCTTGCCTTTGCTCCTCCATTGTCAGACATCTCCTGGCTCTGAGAGACAAGCAGGGAGGGTGGCTTCTGGCAGAAGGGGTGATATGATAGCCATGTTCAAATATATAAAAGGATGTCACATAGAGGAGGGAGAAAGGTTGTTTTCTGCTGCTCCAGAGAAGCGGACACGGAGCAATGGATCCAAACTACAAGAAAGAAGATTCCACCTAAACATTAGGAAGAACTTCCTGACAGTAAGAGCTGTTCGACAGTGGAATTTGCTGCCAAGGAGTGTGGTGGAGTCTCCTTCTTTGGAGGTCTTTAAGCAGAGGCTTGACAACCATATGTCAGGAGTGCTCTGATGGTGTTTCCTGCTTGGCAGGGGGTTGGACTCGATGGCCCTTGTGGTCTCTTCCAACTCTATGATTCTATGATTCTATGAGAAGGAGAGTGAGCCCCCAGTGGCTCCTCCTTATCCTGACTCACCTCTGCCTCTCGCCCTCCCTCTGCCCACTCATCTCCTTCCTCTTCTGCCTCTGATTCTGCACTGCATTCTGCCACAGAGTCTCCAAGCCCACTAAGCCCAGTTACCATTCCAGCTTCTGACACTTCCTCTTCCCAGGCTTCTCCCTCTGACCGCTCATCCTTCCCCCACTTCCACTCCTTCGGCTCTGAGCCGTCTTCCCTTCCTGGTTCCCTGGCTGCTTCCTCCCACCATTCCTCTGTGCCCAACCAGTCCATGACATTGCTCCATCCCTCGGCCTCTGTCCCCACAAGGCAGCTTCCCCTGACCTGATCTGGTTCCACAGCTGCTGCTTCCCTTCGGCCCCCAGGAAAAGGGGGATCAGGAGGTCTTGCTGGCATCCTTCTGCCATCTGCAAGAGAAAAAAGGTAATCAGGATGCCAGGAGTGCCTGCTTCTCTCACAGGTGAAACAGGGCATCTCTAGCTACAGATGGGCCTTTGAGAAGGACTTACCTACTGAGAGCATTTGGATGTTTGTGCCCATTTCATATGTTTGTTTGTGCAGAAATACATCTCCCTTCCTCTGGACCCTTCCTCCCAACTGTCTCCCCCCAAAACAAGATGAAAAGAACCCTGAGATGAGTTGGAAAACCAACAGAATGAGACCAAATGGAGTAAAACCACCTTCCTCCTTACCCAGTGGCCTCTCTCTGGTGTCCAACGGAGGCCTCTCTGCCTCACAGGAATCCAGGTCCATTTCTGCAAAGAGATCCTTTCCCTGAGAAAGAAACAAGGATTCAAAACAGAGAAACAGAGGCAATGCATGAAGTCAGACCTGACTGACAAGGAAGTCATTTGTATCTTTTGCATAATGGATGTTTGGCTCTAGTGGGGGTCCTCACCTGGGGGTCCTCAGAAGTTGCTCTCCCCCCATCCCCACTCCCCTGCTTCTGTCTCCTTTTATTGCACTTGGACTCTCTGCCACTCTCAAGACAAACTCCTGGGGTGGGGTCCCTTTTTCTTTGCTCTGAGGGCCAGGTATGCATCTGGTCAACCCCCTGAGGGCCCAGTGGGCGGGGCCAAAGACATCTCCCTTGAAATTTAGGTGGGTAATTTATTATTATTATTCAATTAGATAGCTTAACCCTGGAGGCTCGGTGAGTAGCTGTGGGTAATTTCCGGCTGCTTTTCCAGCAACAATCCCTTTGGGACAGAGAGAGGATGTGGTCCTGGGATGCCCTGCTCTGGGTGCGAGGGGATTGCTGCAGTGGCCTCCATGGGGAGCTGAGCTTGGAGACACTGGGAAACTGGCCTCCAATGCAGCAGCCAGACTCTGGGCTGGGATCCCTCTCTTTATTCCTGGCCTTTCTCTCCCACCTTTTTTTGGGGGGGAGGGGCTAGAGTGTCCACCTCCTCCTCCAGCTTTGGAAAACCATTTGCACATTTGTTCCCTCTGTTGTGTAATCGGACTCCTTTCTTTAAAGAAATGAGATTTCGGGGGAGTCATTGTTTTTCTGAAGGGGGGGGGAAGGCCAAATGAGTTTGGGATCCTCTGATCTGCAGGAAGGAGAGCGTGGCAGACCTGGCCCCTCCCTGGCAGGACCCTCTCCTCCCTGACTTGGGGTCCCCCCCCCTGCAGGAGCAGATCAGGCCCCCCAGGCACCCTCCCCTGCCCCAGCCCTGGGACCCCCACCAGATCCCAGAGAGAGAGGAGACTCACCAGATCCCAGGGAGACACCAAAGCAGGAAAGGACTGGGGAGGGAGGGGCCTTGGCTCTGGAGGACCTGGCCCCCCCTTTCTTCCTGTCCTCTCTAGGAAGGCAGCTCACTTCCCTTTAACCCTTGCCAAGCCCAGCGTGCCCATCTCTCCCCTCCGTGTTTTTCTTTATTTTCCACTTCCAGAGATGCTTTTTGGGCGACGCCCCCCACTTTCCTTTCCTTCTAGCGCAGTGATGGCGAACCTTTTACAAAACGAGTCCCCAAACTGCAACCCCAAACCATTGATTTTGTCGCAAAGTGCCAACGCGGCTATTTAACCTGCATATCTCATTTTTCCTGTGTTTTCACGTTTCTTCTTTATGACTGCTGTTTTTATAAATAATCCTTCATAAAAATTATTGCATTACATTCCTCATTAAATTATCTTTCCATTGAGACATGATTTTATGAAATAACTCTGTGCTCTTTTTCTTAAAAAAATGTTTAGGGTACTCTCATTTTGACTCAAGGAAATCACCACGGGGGGGGGGGGGAATAAATACAGTTCAAATCTGGGAAAATAAATACAGTGAGTTTTCTTTTCCTGTTAAATTCCTGTGTGGGGACACAGGGGTATGCGTCCCCCTGTGTCCCCACACAGAAAAAGCCTCAAGGACGTTAGGTTGGTCTCGACCAGGGCCAAGGCCTTTTCAGCACTGGCCCCGAACAGGTGGAACGCTCTGTCACGGGAGACCAGGGCCCTGTGGGACTTGACATCTTTCCGCAGGGCCTGCAAGACGGAGTTGTTCCACCTGGCCTTTGGTCTGGACTCAGTCTGATCCTCCTCTTTCTTTTTTTGATGGAACCCCTTATATGGGATCCTGTATATAAATTTTCCCTCGGGCCTTTTGCTGGCCCATATAGGACCAGCATGGATAGCTGAACTTGGTGAATATTTGATGTTTCATTCCCTTATGGTCTTGATTTGTGAGTCGCCAGTAAAATAAGGCTGCATTTTAAGCTGTCTTTTAAGCTATATTTTAATCAATTGCTTTTTTGCTTTTTTTAAACTGTATTTTATGTTTGGTGTTAGCCACCCTGAGCCCATTCTTGGCCGGGGGGCGGGGGCGGGGGGGGTATAAATAAAAATCTTCTTCTTCTTCTTCTTCTTCGTCTTCTTCTTTGCAACAAATAAAGACAGACAGAACTCCCTCTCTGCAATGCAATCTGAAATTTGGGTTTCCTGAAGGTCCTAAGGACTTGGCCAACCTAATATTAAGTAAATAAGGTAAGCCAAAGGTTCTCTCCATATGAACCACCCTCTAGTCTCTGCTTCTCCATTTGTATTGTATTATTTTATGTACTGTGGCTTGCCATTGTTTTACTGATTACAGTTTAGAAATTATTTATTGTAACTATTGAGTGGACTTCTGTTTAAACTTTTATATATTTATATTATTATTTTATACTATACTAATAATTGTTTAATGTTACTTTTTGATGAAGGTTGCTTATTTTAAAGTTTTATTATCACATTTTTGTATTGCATTAGGTTGTTATAAGATGTACATTTTTTTGTTTCCTCAGCTTGTAAACCGCCTTGAGTGTTGTAAGGTAGAAAGACGGTATACAAATTAAAAATGATGATGATGAACCTCGTGGGACTTTGAGCTGCTTCCGGATCCAGCCGAGACTCAGGCAGACTCAGTGGCTGGAAGAGCCTTTGAGCAACTGCAGATGGTTCCACATTCCAGGACCGGGAGAGCCTGGCCTCACGCCTTCGCTTCTTCAAGGCTGGATGACCGCAGTGCCCTCCATGTGGGGCATCCCTTGCGCTTGGTCCAGAAGCTTCAGCCGGTGCAGATTGCTGCAGCACGATTGCTGTCAAGCGAGGCCTTCTCGGCATATGACCCTTTGGCTCAGAGGGCATCACTGGTTGCCCATTGGCTACCAGGACCAGATCAAGGCCTTTCCATTATCATAGGGACCAGTTTACCCATGAGATCCCCTCCTTACCCCACAGGCAGACACTCGACCGCTTCAACTAAAGGTGCCACGCAAGACCTCAGTTGTTTAGTATGGCAGCACAGACCCTTTGGAACTCCCTGCCTCTTGAGATCAAGCAGGCGCCTCCCTCCCACCTTTTGGGGGAACCTGCTAAAAACATGCCTGTGCAGGTGCTTAGAAAGTTGGGGTGAATATTAGTATTTTAACTTTTTCCATGTTTTAAAAAATAAAAAAGGTTAATTTTTAAGTCATGGCAGTGTGTGAGCAAATACTCCACATCTGTCAAGCTTTCAGGAGCAGGACTAAGGGGTGAAATGAAGCCCCCCAGATCCCCAAAGGTTGAGGGAAAGGCTCTATCTCCCTTTTTCCTTTTCATTATCAGTTCTTTCCACCTAAGAAATGGGAAGAAAGCAGCTGCTCATGCTAAGCGCTGGGTTTGTTGGGTTGGAGATTAATGAGCTGATAATGGTATGATTCATCAGTAAGAAATAAGGTTTGTTCTTATCTGTAAGTGAAGCTGCATCTGAAACAGTACAGAAGCAGTCAAAGGGAATTTTATTCTTTTATTCAGTCTCACCTGCAATCATATGTGCTGAACACACAGAAACACATTGATAATGTGAAATAACTGGGAGTTACAGACTCCAAATAACTCGCAACACATGCAAGCAGATTAATGGAAGAGTACACGATTTCCCCACCATTTTTAAAAACATTGTTTTTATTTCTCTTGGTACAGAAGATAACTTTTCAGAAAGCAATGGTTACAACAGTAAACAACAAATAACTTGTCCTGATGGAATTGCAGACTTTCATCCTGCCATGTGTTACAAGTTTCATTTGATTACTCAAAAGATCACACCACATTTTCCCATGAGTGCTGGGTGGATTCCGGCAACAGTCTTAACAATTTATATATTCAATAAAAATTGGCCACGTGTTATAAAAAGAATGTGGATTGTGCTCCCCCACCTTTTAATTTCCCCAGGCAAAAAAAATTCTGCCTTCTGCCACATTGGCCTCCGCTCCCCATTTGGTGTCCTCCGCAAATGTGATGAGCATCCCCTCAGTTCCTTCATCCAAGACATTTATAAAGACGTTGAACAACAACGGGCCCAGGACAGAACCCTGCAACACCCCTCTTGTCACTTTTCCCCAGGATGAGGAGGAACCATGAAGGAGTCCTCTTTGGGTTCGGTCAGTCAAATCCACCTAACAGTTACCTCATTCAGCCTCATTTCACCAGCTTCCTCACATAAATATCACGGGGGACTTTGTCAAAAGCCTTACTGAAATCAAGATGAACTATTACCACAGTAATCCCCTGAGAAACAGTCTGTAACTCCATCCCAAAAAAGAAAAAAGAGATTTCTCTGGATTGACTTGTTTTTGTGAAAGCCATGGTTGCAACCTGGCTGTTTATGTTGTGAATCACCATGAAATCTTCAGATGATGGGCACATAAATTTTTTAAATGATAATATTAAGAAGGATATTGAGAAGCTGGAACATGTGCAAATGAAGGCAATCAAGATGGTGTTATTATATTTATTTATGCATTTATTTCATTTCTATAGCACCCTATAGCAGGGGTGCCAACTTGAGTAATATATAGGAGGGGTTTAGCAAGCCCCGCCTCGGTTAAACAGTCACAGGATGAGGTGCAAGCATGACATTTGAATGGCTATTCCTATGAACTGGGGGGGTGGCCCCCTCACATATCTAATAGGGGGGCAAAGACCCCTCAGACTCTAAGAGTTGGCTCCCATTTCCTACACTCACAGGTCACAGGACGGTTACAACATAATGAATTTCACACAATGAAAACAAAACACCGCCCCCAAAACCTGTAACCCCCACCTCCCCACCACATTTTAAAAGGGCATAAGATGTCAATCGGCCAAAGGCTTGTTTAAAGTGGTGTGTTTTTCTCTAGTGCTGAAAGCTGTATAATGAAGGGTTTTCCACTCTTTCGTATGAATTCTTTGATGGAAAGTGAGATCGGAGCTCTTACTGAACCTATTTCCACATTCCACTCACTGATAGGATTTCTCCCTTGTATGAATTCTCTGATGCTTAGTGAGATCAGAGCTCGTACTGAAGCTCTTTCCACATTCCACACACTGATAGGGTTTCTCCCCTGTATGAATTCTTTGATGAGAAGTGAGAATGGAGCTCTGACTGAAGCTTTTTCCACATTCCACACAATGATAGGGTTTCTGCCCTGTATGAATTCTTTGATGGGAAGTGAGACTGGCGCTCTGACTGAAGCTTTTTCCACATTCCACACACTGATAGGGCTTTTCCCCTGTATGAATTCTCTGATGCCTAGTGAGATCGGACCTCTTCCTGAAGCTCTTTCCACATTCCACACACTGATAGGGTTTCTCCCCTGTATGAATTCTCTGATGGGAAGTGAGATGGTGGCTGTGAGTGAAGCTCTTTCCACATTCAAAGCACTGATAGGGTTTCTCCCCTGTATGAACTCTCTGATGGGAAGTGAGATGAGCCCGGTGAATGAAGCTCTTTCCACATTCCAAGCAATTATATGGTTTCTCCCCTGTATGAATTCTCTGATGGAAAGTGAGACCGGTGCTCTGACTGAAGTTCTTTCCACATTCTAAGCACTGATATGGTTTCTCCCCTGTATGAATTCTTTGATGGGAAGTGAGACCGGCGCTCTGACTAAAATTCTTTCCACATTCTAAGCACTGATATGGTTTCTCCCCTGTATGGATTATTTGATGGGAAGTGAGACTGTGGCTGTGAGTGAAGCTCTTTCCACATTCCATGCACTGATAGGGTTTCTCCCCTGTATGAATTCTTTGATGGGAAGTGAGAGAGGAGCTCTGACTGAAGCTCTTTCCACATTTCACACACTGATAGGGTTTCTCCCTTGTATGAATTCTCTGATGCTTAGTGAGACTGTGGGTGTGATTGAACCTCTTTCCACATTCCACACACTGATAGGGTTTCTCCCCTGTATGAATTCTTTGATGGGAAGTGAGAGAGGAGCTCGTACTGAAGCTCTTTCCACATTCCACACACTGATAGGGTTTCTCCCCTGTATGAATTCTCTGAT